CTGCTACTGCTCAGGCTAATTGCTAAACACAACCATCTGATTTCCGCTATTTTTCCAAAAACCTCCTCAACACCTAAAAGAAAACCCTTCCCTTCTGCATTTTTGCTTCACTTTCCCTTTCTTTCTTTCCCTTTCTTTCTCTGGGAATCCCTTCAGGATAAGCAGGATCCCCCCCTACCTTTTCTTTCATTGCCACAATCCATCTACTCACTTGCCTCTACTTTCACTTGCAACAATCTACTACAAAACTCCAATCCAAACCATGAAATTACAACCACACCACAGCGCTTTTCTTTTGCACGTGTTTCCTCCTGAACAAATCCTCTTCCTTCTTTCCTACCATGCCTTCCTTCACAAACATACTCCAGCAATATCTGATGGGCTGGATTTCCTGAATCCATTTAGCCTCTGCAGCCCCTCAGATGCAGTTTTCACCTTTCTTGGTCCAAAATACAACCCGAAAGTTATCCCAGAACCGTAAAATCCTCCCCAGGAACTTGCAAGGAAATCATTTTTAGAGGCTGAAAAAACTTTCAAGACATTAAAACAGTGTTCCCAGTTTCTGACAAGGAAAGGACCTGCATAAAAATGTTTCTATATATCCCCTCTTTCATGCAGGGCTTTCCCACAGGATAAGCTTATTGAGGATGTTCAGAAAACTGGGTAGGATCTGTTTGCAAGCCCAATTCAAGGGTCACACATTTCCTTACTTCCCAGTTCTAGCTCATATAGAAGGAATGGGGGAAGGAAAAAATCTCTCACACACACATTGCCCTGATCATCACCTTTTGCCAAGCTGGACTCAGCCAGGCTTAGGCTCAGGCAAATGACCTCATGAATCTATTTCTCAATCAAAGCCAGGTTCACACATTCTCATCTCAGGGGCAAGAACACCCATCCACGCCCTTGCTTTCAACCATGCCCTGAAGAGGACAAATTGGTGCAGCTGAGTGGGGAGCTTCTAATTCATGAGGAACCCCCAAAACCCACTCTGGGCTATGCCTACCTCCCAGAAAGGAGAACACTTTAAAATACAAACAGACAAGACAGAAAACACAGGCAGCAACAATGAACACAAGACTTTCACAAACAGTAAACATAAAGCCCTACACAAACCCTAGTGCAAACATGTACTCACACGTGTAGATCTTTCCTGGTGCACCAATACCATATTATAGCTTTTTCTCCTCCACCAGCTTGGACCAAACCAACCCGTATTCCATCTCTTTAGGATGTATTTCTTCCAGATGCTTTTGCAAGAAGTGTAGCCAATTCTAATGAAATGAGCCCTCTGGGGCCAATTTAGATTGGAATTTCTGAGTTAGGTTTGACCATGCTGTTTTACAAAAACTACCAAGCACTTCCGTGACAACCCGACAACCCCGCAGGTGCCGCCCATGGCAATCCACACCACCCCGGATTTTGATGCAGAGGTGTCCATGGGGTAGTAAGCCAAGATTCTGAAACCCCCATGCTAATTGGGTGTCCACAATCAGAGCCAATGTGCAATGAGGTTCAAAACCAGATCTAATTACATTGACCCGCCTGCGAAATGGAAGAGATGGCCAGTATCTGTGCTCCCACAGTGGAGAGAATTTTGGCCGAACTTACCATCTCTCCAGCCCAAGATAAAGGGCCAAAAACCCACAATCCCACCTTCATCACCAAATTCTTAGAAAATGGGGGGTGGGGTGTCCCTCCATGATACATGAGAGACACACCATCAAAGCCATACACTCCAAGGCACACCTATTACCCAAGATGATGCAACCTCGCCTTATGGAATAATATATTTATTTATTTATTTAAAACTTTTCTATGCTGTCCCCTCATGACTCAGCATTTCGGGACAGCTTACAACATAGAATTAAAACAGTAGCAAATAAAATAAATGAAACAGTAAATAATAAAATAATAAAATAAAATGTAAAAAATTATATTTTATAAAATATAAAATTTAATAAAAAATAAAATATAAAAAATAAAAAAACAGTAACAAATACAGTAAAATTATATAAAAACCAAACCAAAAAAAAAACAAAACCAAAAAAGCAACTATTAATGATAAAATTAATTTTTAAAATAGCCGTTAAATAAAAAGGTTTAACCCGGCACTGAAAAGAATATAGACTTAGTGCCAAGCGCACCTCTCCAAGGACTACATTCCATAATCTGGGTGCCACCGCAGAGAAGGCCCTGCTCTGGGTAGTTGTTCTTTTTTCTCCTTTAAAGAGGGCTCCCGGAGCAAAGCCTCTCCCCAGATCTTAAGGGGTGTGGAGGCATGTAAGGGAAGAGGCTCTCCTTCAAGTATCCTGGTCCCAAGCCATTCAGGGCTTTATAGGTTAAAACCAGCACCTAATATAACATATGAGATTCAACAATTTTCCTCCAGTCCTGAGCACCAGAGACAGTGATATTCTCCCAAGAGAGGCTGTCCACGTTGACCACCATTCTTGGTTCTGTCTGTTTCTGGGCCCTTGCATACATGGCCTTGGGGTTGGGGTGCACAGGTCTGCATGGGAGATCCCTGAGTGCCGGGTTGGGCACTCCGGCTTCCCAGAAGATCCCACCTTATTTAACATGCTCTCCTGGATCTGGGATGCATCATGTGAAATGTGGCCCAAGTGAAGGAAGAGGAACTTGAGGCAAGGAGAAGCCCTGGCTAATTTTCCCCACTGATTCCAGTGAATGTACTCCAGTTACGGGATGGTTTTTCTTTTCTTCCACTTTAGCCATTCTTTCTCCCAAATAATTCTGGGACTAAAAGTTACTCGAAAACTTGCATTCGCCTTCCAGACCTACAATTCCCAGGGTGGCAGATAAGTCAATCACGCTTCCCCAGGTAGCCTGGAAAATGTCCCTCTCCGGGTAATGATTAGGAAACCACTGATGACACTCCATGCCCTTTGCAAACAATGATCCCTGAGATTATTCTCAGCTGTGGTGCCCAGACTCTGGAATGTACTTCCCAGAGAGGTACGCCTGGCATCAAATGTATACTCCTTTCGTCGCCTGGCCAAAACCTTTTTATTGAAACAGTATTTTCAAATTTAACAACTTTTAACCTTCAGTCACTCTGTTTGTTTTGTGATGTATTGTTTTTTTTTCTGTTTCTATTATATATTAGAAATTGTTGTTTTAACTGTTCTTTAAAATATTGTAAGCCATCCTGAGATTTTTGTATAATAGGACAGCATACAAAAGCCTTTAATTAATTAATTAATAAAAATATCTGGGGCAGGAATGACTGAAGAGGAATACACCTGTTCTTAATGTGAGGTGCAAATGTGGGGGGGGGGGGGACAGGAGGTGGTCCTTGGAGCAGCAAAGGCAACCCGAGCCCATGTGGCTGCACTTCAGGGAGGGGCTGGCCATGAGGGGAAGTGTCACAGAACGCACGTGGGAATGCCCAACAGGCCTCGCCAGCACGGGGGTTCCCGGGAACTGTACCCCAGTTCTTAGCCCGTTCAAGTCAGGCCTGTGACACGTGGCGGCTGCCAGGGGCGACTCACCGGGCGCCGCCACCCAGCGTGCCCCTTCCCCTCCAGGTCCGCGCCCCTCTGTCCGGGCTCGGCTCTCGCGCTGCCTCCGGCGCCCACCTTGCTGGCGATCGGCCTGCGTCCTTCGAGAAGGGGCCTGCACAGGCCTCATGACGCCCCCGATCCGAACGACTTTCCGGGGTGGGGGGACACGTCCATGGAGGAGGCCACCCGCGGAGACGAGCCTTCCTCTCGCCCGCCCTGCTGGGGGCCCTGTTCCGTGCGGCCGGAGGAAGGACGATCCAGCGCGGTCCGATCCAGCGCGGCCTTTCCCATCCTCTTCGGACTGACATCGCGGCGCGCTTGGGCTCCCAGGCCCGGTGGGTCCCCTCCCCCTCAGACGCTCCCCGAATATGTCTCCGGATCCTCCTTTGGCACCCCGATCTTGTGGCTTGGTTCATGCGGGCGATGCGCCCCGCGCTTCCTTGCCCTTTTGGGAGGCCTCCCCGTGCAAAACCAGGGGGAATGCAGCGCATCCGGACCTGCAGGATCCGGGATCCGGCTTTTCGTGGTCTCCCGGCAGCGAGACGGGCCTGGGAAAAGGTGGAGGGGGAGAGTGGGGGTGCGGAGGACTCGGGAGAGAAGGGGGCAGAGCACGGAAGGGTGTGGGTGGGAGCGGAAGAATAGGGGAGGGTCCCCTCCTTCCCCTTGGCGTCACAGCGGGGAGAGCGCCCCAGTCCGAGCCCAGCTCCCCGGCTGCGCAGCGCTGCAAGGCTTGCATGACCCGGTCTTCCTCCTCGGGAGAGCTCCCCGGAGAGAACTTGAGCGCCGGGATGTTCCGGGGCGCGGTGCAGCGGAGTGGGACCTGCGTGGGGCCGGAGCGGGGAGCTCCTTCCCCTCAGGAGCTCCTGGCGGGGTCTGGGGCGGTGGGGCAGGATGGGGGGCGCAGGGCAGGCGCGGCTTCTGAGTCCACAATTCCAGAAGCTGGGAGCTGTTTGGCTGGACGGAAGGTTAGAAACGCAATGAAAGAATACGATATAAAGAAGAAGGTTTATAAGCTTTCATCTCTTCACTGCAAAAAGCGATAGTCTCATCTCGCATTTGTTCTCCCCAGAAATTCAAGCCACGGGGCCTTTGATGGAGCCAGGCCTTCTGGTGTGGCTCTGACGATCATGTAGGGGGTCACCCCCCCATAAATTTGCCCCCATACCACTTTTCTGGGCCTCGTTGCCCTCTTGGGCCCAGTCTAGGACCTTCTGAATCCCCGTTTTGTAGCAGGCGCACAGAAGTGATGCTACCCCGGATTCTGGGGCTCACTTGGAAGCCGAGGCGCTGCGTGCTTTGGGTGCAGTTCTGGAGACCGCCCCGCTCAAACCAGGGACATGCGGCGCATCCAAGGGGGACTCCGGGATCCGGCTTTTCCGGCCCTCCCGAGGAAGCAGTTCCGGAGTGGGCGGGCAGCAGGGGCCTCGCTTCGTTTCCGCTCCGTCTCCCGGGGACGGAGTGCGCGAAGAGGATCCCTGCGCTGCCTGGAGGGGCGGGAAAGGGGCGAGCGGAGCCCCGCGGACGCTCCGGTCCTGGTAGTCCCGGCAGCGAGACGGGATCGGAGAAAGTCAAGGTGGGCTCGGGGGGTGGGGGGAAGGGGCGGGCTGGGAGCCCGGGGAGAAGGAGCGGAGCGTGGGGGGAGGAATCAATGGAGAGAGTCCCCTCTCTTGGTTTTGCAGGGCAGAGCGCAGGGCCTGGTCCGGACTCGCCGGGTGCAAATCGCCGCAGGGTTTGCTTTGCCCGATTTTCCTCTCACTGGAAGGACTTGAACCCCGGGATGTTATGGAGCACTGGGCGCGGTGAGGCCGGCGGGTCTTGCATGGGGCAGGAGGGGGCTGCTTCCACTCAGGCACTCCCGGCGGGCTCTGAGGCCCGGGAGGCGGAACGAAATGGGGGGCGCGGTGCAGGCGCGGAGCTGCGGGGAGCCGGGCTGGACTTTGCTTGCCTTGAACAGCCGCGACATTTTCCACCCTGCCGGTGTGCAAGATGGGACCGGGCTGGGGGCTTGGAGGGAATCCGTGCAGGCGCTGCTGGGCCTCCCCAGGTGGGGCTTGTGGTGGCGCCCGCTGGAGCTGCTGCTCCTGGAAAGAGTCTTTCCGGAGGGAAGGGGCAGCCCTGGCGGCGGGCTTCGAGTCCATCCCCCAACAGGGCCATCCTGGCTCATGGCGCCTTCCCACGGTGGTGCCGGCATGAACTCCTGTGGAGGCGGCCCTGAGGGACGCCCGCACGGATCCATCCTCGGAGCCGAGGCCAGGCGTGAGGCCACCCGCGGCTCCATTGCAAGGCCCGCCTTCGGTGCCGGGAGCGATTCCCAGCGACGCCAGTCGGGCGGCGTGGAAACGTTTTCCCTGTATTGTGGGTCTTGCATAGCTTCCCTTCCCGGGCCATCTCCCCTGGCTGAGCTGCTGTGGAGGTGAAGCGGGAGGGGCGTGCGTGCCCCTCTGAATGCGCGGCGGGGGTGGACCACGAACAGCCATCGGGGCCTGGGGCCTGGTTTCCACCTGTCTGTCCCCCAGGCAGAAGCAGTGGGGCACCGACCCACACCCCTGCCTCCTGCTGCTGCTGCTGCTTGGCACGGTGTCCTGCTGGGGGGCAGAGAACGAATGTCCGTGCCTGGTCCCTTTTCATGCGATGTGGCCAGATCTAAGCAGGGGACAGGGGACAGGCCGTGAATTCCTCCCGCTGGTTTGCTGTCCTACGGACCTTCCAGGTGCAGCTTCCAAGAGCATCCACTCCCCACCCCTTTTTCCAAAGGGACCAATCCACGCCCTCCCTGCACGTCCCTGCATGTTCCTGGGAAAGGGCCTCTGGTGTGTGTGTCACACCTTCACTTGCCCAGATCAGGGGGCCTTGGGCGGCGATGATGCTCGGCTCGTGCGCCGCCATCCTGGGGCAGACCTGGTGGCTGCATCTGCTCCCTTGCCCCCTCATGCACTTCCTGGGGCTTCTGGTGGGGGAGCTGTGGGCTGCCCAGGGGATGTGGGCAGGACCTCCCTGTGGCTTGTCCTTCCCCCTCCACTGAACCTGCCATGGATATCTCTGGGGAGGGGCAATGGTGGAAGCGCCCCCCGCTGGCAGGACTGGCATGTGTTCCACGCACAGTGCGGCTTGTGTGCCCATCCAGGATGTTTCCACTAGCAGTGCCTCTGCAAGGGCTGCTGGGTGAAGAGTGGACCCCTCGGAGGTGCCTTGCAAGATGGCCGGTTCTGGCACACAGGGTAGGCATGCCATGAGTGGAGCCGGCTGGAGATGGGGTCAGACTAGATGGCCCAGGAGTCCCTGCCAAAACACTCTTTTTCTGTGTCTCTTTCCACATGCCTCTGGCACCATTTGACTCATCCCAGGGATGGCTCTGTCCATTCAGTTCGGACAAGGCAGCCAGTCCTGGAGTGGCTTCCCAGCCTGGGCTCCCAGGAAGCCAAAATCTGAGGGGCTGGCTCTGGAACTCACCTGGGAACCTCACACGAGGCTGTCCCTCTGCAGTCTCAGTACAACGTCACAAAGCTTTGGAGGTGCACAACTATTCAGCTTCGTTTCTACCCTGGGAAGAGGGTGACAGGACTCTGGTCTTTCTCTCTTGCTTTCCCTTATAATTTATTCTGAGTAGAACACACATTGGTGTTATTTCTGCTTCCTTTCAGGACATGGTGCACTGCCTGGCGAAATCTCCATAAATCCATGCTGAAATCCCAGGCACATGCAGGCAATGAAAAAAGTCTCCAGGCCTGTGGGGAACAGAGGAAGTGTTACACAGAACTGGTAAAGAAAAAGGGAAAAGCAAACACCCAGCCTGGGGCAGGGTTCGTTGCGGGGTGAAAGTGGACAATTCTTCTGCACCTGTTCAGTATCATAGTAACCTGGTGCCATGGAAGAAGTCCCACTGGGGAGAACCCATAGGAATGATGAGATAGTTTACATTTACTTACACTGTGCAGAGTGGAATCAAGTTGAGGGAGGCCTGGAGAGCATCCGGCCAGGCTGTATCTCTGCTTCCAAGCTGGAGGTTCAAACAAAGCCTGACTGAATATCAGCCTGGACCTGCTGCTGCTGCTCCCCACAAAGGCAACTTATCTCCAGGAATTGTGGGGAAGGTTACCTGGACCTTCTGCGCTAGAGCTGGAGGGGGCCAAAGGCCTTGCATGGATGGCACTTCCTTTGCAGCACTGGCAGCTGACGGGTGGGTGTTTCCTCCTCTTTTCGGGGCAGCCAGCTGTGCCCTCCCTCACAGCTCCCACTGCACCCCAGAGCGTTCCTCAGGACAGCCCCATAAGTGGGTCACCAGGCTCCCCAGCAGGCCCAACCTGGGCAACCTCCAAGGCAATCAGAGAGAGGTGCTGCCTGTTGTGATTGCCATCCACAGCAGCACAGCCTCTGCCCATCACCATCACCCGAGCCTGTCCGTCCATCAGTCCATGGCTTGCAAGGCCAGTTGCAACTCCTGGTATGTTGTATTGCGCTCATGGATGGAGCTGGGCAGGGTGCGCTTCTCACGGTGACACAGCTGTGATCTGGATGCCATCAAATCTCCCACCGGTACCAAGGGAGGCTTTCCCTGTAAGCAACAGTGGCCTTTGCTGTCCGTCTGTTGCAGCAGGTCGAGCCTCACGCATTGATGGTTGCTGTTCCTCAGTGCAGGGGAGGTGCTGCAAGAGATCAGCATCTCTCCTTGACAGAAACTCTGGATTTGGCAGAGGGTTTCTTTGGGCCCTCAGAAGCTCTGAGCCCCCAGCACGGGGCTACACCCAAGTCCAGATCCAGGCATCCCCTGGTAAGGGTGCAAAAATTCCTGAGCGAAAATGCCGAGGTCTAGAAGAAGGCCTTGTTATGAGCGGCTTGTCTGTCCTGCCAGGGCCTGGATCCCCCCCTTCCCAATGACAGTCCTTGAGTTTTGGTGCAGAGGTGTCTGTGCATGTGCGTTTTTGTCTGCCATCCCAATTTGTGTTTGACAGGTGGAACCTGCTCACTCTGAGGTCCTTTGATGTGAATATTACTATGCATGCAACACCCTTGAAACTTAGTTTCTCCTTCTCCCTGCCGAGATATCTAGGGAAAATAGAGCTCACCTAAATAGAAACATAGAAACACAGAAACAGAGCAAGGGGCTGCCAGAGTCATCTAGTCTGACCCCAGACTCTTCATAACATGCCTACCCTGTGCATATCCAGCCTATCCTTGAACACCCTCACTGATGGGGCCTCAACCACCTCCTGTGGAAGCCCATTCCTTACCCTCGGGGTCCTAACTGTCAGGACGTTCTTCCTGGCATCCAAATTGAACCTAAGTTCCCTGAGCTTCACTCTGTTTGAGCACATCCAGCACTCCTCTGCAGGAAAGAACAGGTCTCTACCCACTTCCATGTGACACCCCCTCACATATCTGTATGTCGCCAAGCAATACCCTCTGAGTCTCCTCATACAGCTTTCCCTACAAACTGGCCACCAGCCTTGTGGCCCTACGCTGCACTGACTCTAAACTGGCTATAGCCTTCCTGTAACGAGGGACCCAAAACTGAGCACAATACTCCAGTTGCGGGTGCACCAGAGTCATATAGAGTTGTTGCAATACATCTCTTGATCTAGAAGCCACACTTCTGGCTATGCAACCAAGGGTGGTGTTTGCCCTCTTGACCACCGCATCACACTGCTGACTCATGTTTACCCTGCAGTCAACCAGCACCCCAAGATCCCCTTCACAAGTGCTGCTCTCCAGCCACTTGTCCCTAAACCTGTACTCATGACACCCATTCCTATGCCCCACATGCAAGACCTTGCACTTGAACACATTGAATGCCATCCTGTTCTCTCCTGTCCCTTTCCATAGTCTGGATTTTTTTGCATCTGGAGTACCTGCTCCTCAGTTGTAGCCACTGCCCCAGTTTCAGTATCGTCTGTGAATGTGACCCCTTCTCCCATGTCATTGATGAAAAGATTAAAGAGGATCGGCCCCAGGACGGAGCCCTGGGGGACCCCGCTTGTCACTGGCCACCATCCCGATGATTCCTCACTAATGGTTACCCTCTGCTTCCGGTCAGTCAACCATGCCCTAATCCACTGGACCGTGCTTTGGTGTATCCCAAAACTCCTCAGTTTCTCAACCTGGATATCATGGAGCACTTTGTCAAAGGCCTTGCTGAAATCCAGGTAAGCCACATCCAGTGCATCCCCTCCATCTAGTCACCTCAAAACCTCGTCATAGAATTGCACAAGGTTTGTCTGGCAGGGCCTGTTTTTGTGGAAGCCGTGTTGTGTGGCCGTCAGACACCCTTCCCAATCTAGCATCAATAGATCTCCCACTATTAGGAGCCTTTCCATTGTTTTTCCTGCAATGGACATAAAGCTAACTGGTCTGTAATTCCCCATGTCCCTTCTACTACCCTTTTTGAAAATTGGGACCACTGGTGCCATGCTTCTGTCCTCTGGAAATTCACTCATCGCCCAGTGCCTTTGTAACATCCAGTGCCCTGAAGAGCTCCTTGACTTCTAGGGGGATGACTCTGATCTGTGCCCCTAAGTCCCCAGCCTCATCTGATCTCCCATGCGGATCTCCCCCGTCCTGCTTTGGGCAGAACACAGAGGCAAAATAGTCATTTAGCATCTGTGCCTGTTCCCTCGCATCAGTCACTGGATCGCCTTCCTCCTTATTTAGCAGTCCTACTCTCTGTCGCCCCTTCCTTTTGCTATTTACATGCTGATAGAAGTCCCTTTGGTTGCTCTTGATATTCTTTGCAAGTCTCAGCGTGTAATCAGCCTTAGTCTTGCAAAGAATTCTTCTGCACCGGGCCTCCTCCTGGTATACCCTTTTGTCTATTTGCCCTAGCAGCCAGTTCCTATGGAGGTTCCTCTTGCATGCAATCCCTCTAACTACCTCCTTTCACTTGAATGGCAGCACTTTCCTTCACCTCCCTGCCTTACTAACTAGAGGTATATTCAAGGCTTGTACCTCCAAAAGCCCTCTTGAATGCCATCTACCCCTCCTCAACCCCCTTGCCTTCCAGTAACCTATCCCAGGAGACTGTCCGCAGTCAGGCCTTCAGTTGGCCAAAGTTGGCCCTATTGAAGTCCCAGCTTCTAGTGCTCGACCTGTTGCACGTCCCCATTCCCCGGATCTCAAAGCAAAGGATGGAGTGATCACTCGCATCCAGAGCTCCCCTAATCTGTACTTCATCTATCAGCTCCTCTCTATTGGTCAAGACCAAGTCAAGGATGTTTCCCCCCCTTGTCGCCTCTCGGATCCTCTGTGTGAAAAACCCTCCCTCTATAGCTTCTAGGAAGTGACGTGACCTGGTTGTCACTGCTGAGTGAGTCTCCCAAGTAATATCCAGGAGATTGAAATCTTGCATAATTACTGTGACTCTCCCCCGAGATATCCTTATAATCTGATCTGTAAGGACATCATCCAGTATCTCAAGTTGACCTGGAGGGTGATAACGTATGCCCACTGTCAGGTCTCTTTCCCTGTCAAAACCCCTAAGTTTCCCCCAGACTCCCTCTTCCGAATCCCCATCTTTGCTGAATTCCATCTCACTGCATCCTATCCCTTCCCTGACGTATAAAGCCACGCCCCCACCTCTCTTTCCCTTCCTGTCCTTTCTAAAATAGTGATACCCTTCTATGTTTACATTCCAGTCTTGCCTTTCGTCCCACCAAGTTTCTGTGATCCCCACCAGGTCATTCCCTCCTATTCCCAGGAGAGCTTCGAGCTCTTCCTGCTTATTACCCATGCTCTTAGCATTGGGGTACATGTACCTCAACGCCTTCCCGCAGCTCCTTTTTTTGGAATCTCCAAATTCCTCCTTCCTCAGATCTTTCCTGATAATGGCCCCCTCTTCATAGGAGTCCTGTCAGTCCCTGTAGTACCTCTTATACCCTGTTCCCAGAGCCCTGATCCTCTCCCCACACTTGTCCAGTGCAGACAAGTTTCTGGGGGGCCTGAAATCCCCACACCCCGGCTCAGTTTAAAATCTTCTGGACAAACTCACTAGAACATTTCCAAAAGACCTTTTCCCCATCCTCGTGAGGTGCAACCCATCTCTTTCCAGAAGTCAATTGGCAAGAAACTGGGTGCCATGGTCGTGGAACCCAAAGCATTGCTTCTGGCACCACACCCCAAGCCAGTTGTTCACCTTGGCGACCCTCCTTTCCTGCCTGACCCAAATCCCCAGACCAGTAGGATAAATGAGAAGGCCAAATGGGCCTATAGGTCCCTGAGTTTCTTCCCCAAGGCCTCGAAGCCTCTGGTGATCCTGCCCACACCCTGCCTGGCTATGTCATTTGTCCCCACGTGCATCACCTGAAGCAGCTGGTGACCCCAGAGTGAACAAGACACTCCACTCCATCCTTCACATGCCGGATGGGTGTGCCTGGCAGGCAACAGACCTCCCTCGCCTCAAGGTCAGGGCAGCACATTGCCGCCTCAGTGCCTCTCAGTAGGGAGCCCCCAACAATGATCTCCCACTGCCATCTCTTCCCAGTGGTGGTGGGCAGCTGTGCCCTGGCCCTCGCCTCCCAGCAGTGGCCCCCTTGCCACTTGTGATCCCAGGCTGGTGGTCCTGCGGGTTCCCCAAAGCCCCATCAGCCCCAGCCTCCTCAGGCAGAGAGAACTTGCTTCACAGCTCCAGATCGGCACCAGGAGAAGGAGGAGGCCATGCTGGCCTCCTCCTCCTGTAGGTGACATACCTCCATGTCTCCTGAGCTGTTCCTCACATGACCCCTCCCTCAACCCTCTTTCTGGAGGGAGACTGCTCCAGGGGGGCATGGAGAGCCCTCTCGGACCTCGACACCTCAGCTCCTCCTCTTGGAGGGTCACAAGCTTGCATGGAGGGCAAGTGTATCCCGGCCTCTCCTGAGGAAGAAGGGCGAACATGTCACAGCAGACTGCAACACCTGTGATTCCCATCAAGGCCATCTCCTGGCCTGACATTAGAAACACCCCAGAGACCTTACCTTGTTCCCCCACATTGTCTGTCCTGCACTACTCCTCACTCGCCCAGTTCTTCCAAATGAACCCACACACACACAAGGACAAATAAAATAATTTTAAAAAAAGAATATAAAAATAAAAACCTGCCCCCAGGGAAGGGCATCCCCAGGCAACCCTGGCCAAAGCTAAGTGACACAGACAAGGGATGACGCCCCACCCCTCTGCTTCCTCCTGGCCTCTCTGGCCCCACCTCCTTCCTCTCTGCTCTTCCTGCCCCCCACAACTCTGTCGAGGTCCTACCTTGCCTTTGCCAGTCCCCTGGCCACCCTCAGCACACTCTCCCAGCCCCTGCTGCTCCACTGCTCTGCCAAGAGGCAAGAGCCAAAATATGTTGCTGTATGTGATAACTTCAGTGAAAATGCAATCCTTGAGAAAGCTGCTTTGGGGGTGGCGGGGCATTCAATGAGGAAGAGGGATTATATTGAAGGTGCTGAAATGAAAATGCCACATTTGCCTTGTACCCAAATGAGTTCATCCTTTTCAGGCTTTATCTCATAACCAAATTTTCCTTGGGTCTATCTTCCCAAGCAGGTGAATGGCAAGACAGTGGAAATGATACACGTCCATGTGTCCCCTCATCAGAAACAAGTGAGCATAAAGTGAGAAAAGAGATACTTGCAAATCCAATCAGGATCAAAACAACATTAATGAATCCAAGTGAGGAAACGATCCTGCATTTCTTACGGTGCTGGAAAACTTTAATAACCCTTAATTCCAGAAGGTTGCAAAGGAAGGAGGAAGGGAAGGGATCTAGGGTGTGGCAATTTACCAAAAGACAGATAGAACAACCACAGAAACTGTAGAAAATTCAGAGACCAAATGAACTGTTTGGAAGATTATACATAGGTACGATTTCAAATGTGTATAGTGTAAAACAAGAATCAGAGACAGCACAAGCCTTAGTAAGTATCAGGGATCCCACACTTAAAGGAACCCATATAGAATTATGGAAAGCAGACAGAGCTGCAGTGCTGGTGGAAATCTTATTAAACATCCAAGAATCCACACTGAAGAGAAGCCATATGGATGCCCAGAATTTGGAAAAACCTTCTGTCAAAGTGGAAAACTTTCTCCACATCAACTGACGCACATTGGGAAGAAGCCATACAAATGCATGCAGTGTGGCAATAGTTTCAGCCAGAGTAAATTGCTTATGAATCATCAAAGAACCCATATTGGCAAGAGGCTATACAGATGCATGGAATGTGGAAAGAATTTTACTGACCGTGGAGGTATTATGAAACATCAAAGAATACACACTGGGGAGAGGCCCTACAGATGTATGGACTGCGGAAAACGCTTCAGACATAGTCAAACTCTTAGAAAACATCAAAATACCCACACTGGGGAGAGGCCCTTTACATGCTTGGAATGTGGAAAGAGCTTCAGCCAGAGTGGTCATCTTACGAGACATCAAAGAACCCACACTGGAGAAAAGCCTTTTACATGCATGGAATGTGGAAAGAGCTTCATCCAGAGTGGTCAACTTCAATGCCATCAAATAACCCACACTGGGGAGAGGCCCTATACATGCATGGAATGTGGTAAGAGCTTCAGCCGGAGTGGTCTTCTTACGGACCATCACAGAACCCACACTGGGGAAAAGCCTTTTAAATGCATAGAGTGTGGAAAGAGCTTCAATCAAAATAGAACTCTTACAAGGCATCAAAGGACCCATACTGGGGACAGGCCCTATACCTGCTTGGAATGTGGAAAGAACTTCAGCCAAAGCTCTGATCTTACAAACCATCAAAGAACCCACACAGGGGAGGAGCCATTCAAATGTAGCAAATGTGGAAAGAGCTTCAGCCAGAGCCAAACGCTTTGGAGACATCAAAGAACTCACACTGGGGAGAGGCCTTATACATGCATGGAATGTGGAAAGAGCTTCAGCAGGAGTGGTCATCTTACTAGCCATCAAAGAACCCACACTGGTGAAAAGCCTTTCAAATGCATGCAGTGTGGAAAGAGCTTCAATCAAAATAGAAATCTTGCAAGGCATCGAAGGACCCATACTGGGGAGAGGCCCTATACCTGCTGGGAATGTGGAAAGAGCTTCACTGGAAAGGGAAATCTTACCACACATCAAAGAATCCACACTGGGGAGAGGCCCTATACCTGCATGGAATGTGGAAAGAGTTTCAGCCAGAGTGGTCAACTCACAGAGCATCAAAGAACGCACACAGGGGAGAAGCTATTTAAATGCATCGAATGCGGAAAGAGCTTCAGCTGTAGTCGTTCCCTTATGAAACATCAAAGAGCTCATACTGGGTAGAGGCTATATAAATGTGTACAGGGTGGAATCAGCGTCTACCGGAGTGATCATTTTGTGAACCATCAAAGGACACATACTGACAGAAAGCCTTTTAAATGCATGCAATCTGGAAGAAGTTGCCATTTAAGTGGATGTCTGTAAAACCAGCAAAGAATCCACACAGGATAGAGACCGTATAAGCGCATGGAATGTGGAAAGAGCTTCAGAGCAGAATCTTCATTATTAATGAAGGCATGGGAATTCAGGAGCAGTGTATGGCCCCAAAATGGGAAGTCTTGGAGGTGCTAGCCTTGATGATGCCACTGGTTAGGCAGGGGAGAAGGCATAGTTTGTTGCTGCTGTGGATGTGAAGAGAGTTGGTGAGACAGCTTAGAAGGAAGATGGACCTTCACAGAAAATGGACACTGGGGCAAGTGGTCAAAAGTGTATACCAGGAGGAGGTGGCATGATGCAGAAGGATTCTTTGCAAAGCTAAGGCATATTATGAGCTGAGACTTGCAGGAAATGTCAAGAGCAACACAAAGGACTTCTTCCGTCATGTAAATAGGAAGAGGAAGGGGAGAGGACTTCTGGTTGATGTCGTGCTGAGATGGCTGTGAATATCGGAGGCTCCCGTTATCACGCCGGTATCTGTTCGACAGAGAGCCGTGGGAGTCTCACTAAGCCCTGTCGAGGCAAAGATTAGATTGTCCGAGCATTCTTCTGGTTGGTGTGGGGCAGCAGCTCCACATTTACTGGGAGAAATTCGGGCTTTTCTCAGTTGAACAACATCGGGGAAAAATCAGCTCCCTGCAAGCCATAGACGACTGGGAATAATTGCATAGAATAATAGCTGGAAGTTCATCGGAGCTGCTGGGTGAGCATTTCTATTTTTCTCTTCTTCAATATTACCTGTGAAAGAGCTGCAGCAGTTACTAATTGGCATAAAGAAGAAAGGAAAGGCCCTTTTATGGAGGGAGGAATCCCTCCTCCCCCCACGGAGTTTTAAGCGGCAACTGATCTAGGCGAGAGAAATTGGGGTGGGGGGAGGTTTGGAAAGTTTGAGGCTGGAGAGAAAGGCCTCCTTTTTCTAACCTCCCCAAGGGTGAAGAATCAGAATAAATAATTAATATAGAATAAGTGATAGAAGGACTAATCTTAATTGCTGAACGGCCTTTTTTTTTTTTTTTTTTTTGAGCCCTTCTTTTAAACATTTTCAGTGCCAGGAATAAAAATAGCTTATTCCTTTTGTGACGTCATTTAAAGACCAAAAGAGCCCTTTGTTGCTACCCTGTGGCTATTGCATTTATAGCAAGTCTCTATTTTTTTTTTCTTTTTTCTCTTCTCCATTTCTTTGTTGTTGTCTTGTAATTTTTGGCAAAAAATATTATTATCATTATGAAAAAATACATTCTTCCTCCTGTTCGGCTCCTACATCAGCTGCTCAGAGTCCTACTCATCAGTCTAAAGCGGCAGATGTTGAAAAATATCAAAAAGAGCTACAAATGATGCTTCTGGCTATACAGACATCCTTAACATCTTTGCAAGCATCCCAAGAGGCAATGTCAACATGACAGGAAAGCATTTCAATTGAACAAAGAGAATGGCTTGACAAATTGGATAACTCTATTAAGGAGGTATCAACTCAATTGGTGGTCGTGCGACTTAAAACTGAACAGAATACACAAAAAATACAACAAGCCTATGAAAAACTTGAAATGGTAGATAAGAAAACACAATTAATAAAGCAAACAAACAAATCACTATGGGATTCACTTGCTATACTAGAGATGGAAAAGGCATCTAACTATTTGAGATTTCAGAATATACCCGAAGGAAAGAATGAAGACTTGCGAAATTTAATGACTAACAAACTGGCAGAGTTGTTAGGAATAGAAAATGAAGAGATGTGGGCAGGGATTGATTTTATTTACACAGTCAACTCAACTTATGCCAGTTAAAATAAGCTTCCGAGGGAAGTCCACATTAAATTTGCTCTAAGGTCTATAAGAGACAATGTTTTGAGGGCCATACGTGAGAAACCTTTAAAGGTGGATGATCTCCATGAGGTGACAGTTCTGAAGCAAATTCCATGGAGGATTAGAGAAGGACAAAAGAAATACCTATTCCTTACTACATAGTTGATCAAGAAAGAGATTATGTTTAGGTGGCTAACGCCAGAAGGAATATTTTTCACCTGGTACTCTACATGGAATAAATTGGACTTGATTTTTAAAGCACAAGAGTTTTATGAAAAGTTTAGAAGTATGCTTGAAGAGGAAGAACCTGGTGTCTCAAAAGAAGGAGGGAAAGGTGCCGAACCAATGGAATTAATAACGTGTCACTCTGAGGAAAGAGAAATAATGAATACTGACTCACAACAAGAAGTACAGACACTGGAGAAAACAAAGGAAAAGAGAAGGGGTAGAGGTGTAAAGAAGAAATAAGAGAATTTTGTATTTTGAAGGGAATGATTTGCAAATGGGCTGGCATGCTTATATGTGGTATGAGAAGGTTAAGTCACATGGTTCTTTAATGATTTTCTAATATAGTAACTTAATAATGTCAGTGTGGAAAAAGTTAAAGATAAAACTGTATAATTACCCAGATGGCTTTCACCCAGAGAAGCCTTTGTGTACCCAAATGCATTGAATTTTGAAGGGATTATAAGATATGATGGCATTTTGGATAAGGATGGAGGATTGAAATTGAATTAAGAAACACAAGAACAGGGAGCTGATATCTCCTGGTGGCATAAGGTGCAGATACAATCAAGATATGCTAAAGATTGTAAAGTGTGGGGTTTTTATAAGAACTTAACTGCGTTTGAGCAAGTGATGCTTACATCAGATGAGAAAATGATTAAAAGATTATATGACTTATTTTACAGATGGTATCTGTCAGCAACTAGATGAGCTAAGACATTTCCAAATATGTCAAATGGATATTGGCTATGTAAACATAAATTGTTTATGTACTTTTTATCACATGTGGTGAATTTGCGATAATGTGAAAAGTATTGGATTTAAAATACATAAATGGCTCGAGGAAATGTTACAAAAATCCTTAGTTTTAAACCTGAAGTTCTTTTTATTAGGCATTCTACCGGAGGACATTAGTAAGTAAGAAATGCATTTGATTTCACGTGTAATTACTGCAGTGATGATTGCATTCACTCAACACTGGAAAGGTGAAGAACTACCCACCGATGAACTGACTCTAAAAAAAGAAGATGATGATCCTGGACTATGCAGAAACGGATAGGTTGATTTAATCATTGAAGGTGAAGGAAGATACTGACTTATATCAAACTTGGGAATCTTTTTATTATTGGCTAGAGAAACAGGACTTCGCATAGATTTAAATATGTTTTTAAGTTTCATAAATGGAATAAGAAGGGTGTGGAGGCTGACCCAGCGGGCTCGATGTGTTTGATGATGGATGTTGTTTCTAGTTTTCTTTTTGATTTTTTAGGATTATAATTTCTCAAATAAAACTTATTTTTTTAAAAAAAGGAAGAGGTAGGGGAGACAAGTGGTGGGATCACTTAAGAGTGAGAGGGTCTGGTAACTGATATAAGAGAACAGGCACAGATGATAACTTATTATTTAGCTTCTGTGTTCTTCCCAAAGTGGGTTAGGGGAGATCAAACTGAGGAGCTCCTCAGGGCCCTGGATTTCACAAAGGCACTGGGCCCTAGTGGGCTATACTCAAGAGTGTTCAGGAATTGGCAGGGGTGCTCTTGTAACCGTTGCCATACATTTTGGGAGCCTTGTGCAAAACATGAGAAGTTCCTGGAGGATTGGAGGGTGGCATCAGTGGCTCCAGTGTTCAAAATGGTAGCAGAGGGGATATGGGGAATTACAGGCCTGGTTAGCATTATGTCCATTCTCAGAAAGACAATGGTAATGTGCATAATGTGGAAAACTGTACAAAGCCTAGATAGGGATGGGAGCTTGGCAGCCATGCCTCAAGGATTCCATGAAAACAGATCCTGTCAGAGAACCTTACGGAATTCCAGGGTAAGGTCTTGAGGTGGCTAGGCAGAGTGGGTGCAGTGGATATAGCTTACCTGTGCACTTGAATGAGGAAAGAACTTGAGTGCTAATGGAAACCTTAGTGTGCATTTAAGAATGCAACCTGAGGAGAGGCCACATAAAAACATGGAAAGTGGAAAGAACTTCAGCGAAAGTCAAATTGCAAGCCATCCAAGAACCCACATTGGGAAAAACCATTTGGAAGTCTTACTCCACATCAGAGAATGCACACGGAACAGAAGCCACACAAATGCATGGATTACATAGTTTGAAAATGTACAGTATAAGCTCTATTAAAAATAGCAATCAAATTTAACAATCCCTCAAACCAAAACCACATTACTTTGAAACTTTACTGACCCATAATTTCATAGAATCATAGAACAGCAGAGTTGGAAGGGGCTATGAAGGCCATCAGGTCCAACCTCCTGCTACTGCAGATCACCAATTTACACCATCCCACTCAGACGGCTTTCCAGCTTCTACTCTAGGTTGCTACTGTGGGTGAGTCACAACCTCTCTAGGCAACAGGTTCCACTGTCGAATTTCCCTGAGAGTGTAGAAGCTTTTTCTCATGTCTAGCCACAATCTGGGTTATCTCAACTTGAGCTGATTATTCTGTGTCCTACAGTCTGTAATCAGCAGCAAGAGAGCTTGACCTTCCTCTTTGTGACAGCCTTTGAGGCACTGAGAGTGGGATTTCATGTCCCCGCCCCCCACGGTCTTCTCAAGGCTGCACATTCCCAGTTCTCCCAGTGTTTCCAAATCCCAGATCAGTTTTGTTTCCCTCCAGGGGCAACAGCGTAAAAGGCACAACAGCAATTACAGACCAAACAAAATTAATAGCAAAGAATGTGGAAATGCCTTCAGGGCGGAATCCCCATCTTATTGTACATGGAAGAACTCCCCCTGCGGGGAAAGCATCCCACTAAAGTGGAAGTCTTGCTAAACAGGATGCTGCTAAAACTGGAGTGAAGGCATAGCAATGCACAAAATGGGGAAAGCGCTTCAGGGATACAGGAGGGTGTTGTTAATGTTGACCAATCCACCCCAGAGAGAGAGTGTTGAAAGGCACAGAATTGGGGAAGTGTCGCAGGGATGGGGGAAAACACAATAGCAATCTATTCAGAGGCGGTTTCAATGCTGAGCGTGCACATTTGGATGAGATTCCCAGGCACACACAAGGGATGTCCTGTCTTGGTGGGACTGATAGCTCCGACCCTGAGGATGAGGTGGGGATGGCTGAACCAGAACAGGTTTGGAGCTCACACTCCGATAACAGAATTGCTCTTGTAATAGGCAGGCCGGCACTGGCAGACTCGCTCTGGCAGTACCAGTCCGAGTCTTCTCTGGATGAGAGCAGCTGAAGGACACCAATGGGACTCAGTCTCCCTCATAGCTGTGGGAATGAGGCAGATGAAAGCTAGGAGTGAGAAGATTTCTCAGATGGAGAACAGAAGCCTCAAGATGTGGACCTTCGGGTCCGTCGTCACAGCCACAGGATGGACCAGTGAGGGGCTCAGAGAGCAGAATGCAGGTGCTCCTGTTTCCACAGAGACTCTCCTTCCAGAGACCGGCCCGGAAGGGTTCATAAGCAAAACTCTGGGTGAAGGGCAGCAGAGAGGCATCAACACATCCCCTTCTGTATTCTCAGTGGCTGCTGGAAGCTTAAGATTTTTCTGTGTAGAATAAAGATTTACAAAAAGTGCTGGAGTGACTGTCTTACTTGGCGGTGGTGGGGGGACGCCTACTTCACGACACTCAGTACCTTTGGCACTCGGGGATTACACTGAGCATCAGTCAGGCAGAAAGGCAGGACTGTACTACCTGTGCGAGTGGCTTCAACATTGCTTTTGGCAGAGTGCCCCTGACCTTTGCAGCAGGCTATACCCTAAGGTTGCCACGATGGAACAACAGCCAGGTTGGCCCATAGCTAGCTACGGGGCCCGACTCGGAGGGTGCTTCTCAGTGGCACCTTCTCAGTTGGGAAGGCTGGGCCAACAGCTCTGCAAGATTCGCATCAGGGACTTGGACAAGGAGGTGCAGGGAATGCCGTTGGGAAAACATCCCAAAGGCAGGAAGGGGGGGGGGGGGGAGCTAATGCCCTGGTGTAAGCAAAGAATTCAGAGTGATCCAGATGGGCTGCGGCACTTAGTGAACTGGGGACAAATACCAAGTTCTCCATCTGGGAAAAGAGACGTAAATGCACAGTTGCATGATGGGGGCCCTTGAGTCATGGAGACTCTCCTGCCATTTCTTTGGACATGCTGTATATCTCCCTTTCTCAAGGTCTCCTCGTTCTCTGCATACGTAATGCTGCCAGCAGGAATTCACTTCCAGTCCTGCTGGTTAACCTCTCGCTCAGCGTTGTGCCCAGACTGCAAGGCTCCTTGGCTGGACTACGTGGTCCTGAGGATGAGTCTCTGTTCAAGCACCTGTGACTCAGGGTAAGCGAGGGGTGGGACGGGTCCCAGAGCAAGTGAGAAAACAGAGCAGCTGGCCTGCAGGTGCAGGAAGCCTTGTGTGTCCCCCAGGAGACCTTGGGGTGTAGCAGCAGCAGCAGCAGCAGGAAAGCAGCATGGCTCTTGGTCTGCCAGTCATAGCCTCCAGTCTTCTCTTGCGGCTAATTCGAGAAATAATTAAAACCAGGATCTCCCTTGCAAGCGCCAGACCCTGTAGCTTTCTAAGTGAGACAGACCCTCGACGGTCATGGCTTTGCATACAGAGAGGATGCGAAGACGCCCCATGCACTGAAACTTTCCCCAAGCGCTCAGTGGCAGAGGAGCCATGGATGCGTCTTCCCTTTGACCTCTGTACATGCATCAGCAACTTGCCTTGCCCTTGAATCAGATGTTTTCATCAGTGGATTCAAGAGAGATCTGTCATGCTGGCCCACGAGGATCCCATTCCACAAGGCTGAGCAAGAATAGCAGTAAATCACTCTCATTTTCATAATTATGAGGGGCGTTCAATGAATTCTCGGTATCAGCATGAAGAAAAAGGAATAATAAATTGAAATAATTTTTATTTTTCAATGCAATCTCCCATAACTTCAATACACTTATTGCATCTAGAAACTAACTTTTCAATTCCCTGTAAAAAATACTCCTCCTCCTTGTCCAAAAAATGTGTGTTAATTGCTGCCTTGAGCTCTTAATCGTCGGAAAATCACTTTCCACGAAGATCTTTGCTTAAATTCGGGAATAGGTAGTAGTCACTGGGGGCCAGGTCCAGACTATAGGGTGGGTGGTTTATTTCTTTGAAACCACAGTCTCGCACAGCAGCCTTCAAAACACGAGCCATTTGAACGGGCACATTGTCGTGAAGAAGCAACACACCTGCGGTCAGTTTTTCCCACCTTTTTTCACCTTTTTCATTTACTCGATCAATAAAATTCCCTTTGAGTCCCAAAACACTGTGGCCATGATATTTCTGGCTGATGGAGTGATTTTGAATTTCTTTGGAGGGTCAGCACCCTTTTTATGCCACTGCATGGACTCCTTCTTACTTTCAGGGTCATAGTGATGAACCCAAGTTTCATCTCCAGTAACAATCCAGTCAAAAATACTCAATGGACCTTCACCACAGAGCTCTAAAAACTCCCTACAGCACTCGACTCGCACTTGTTTCTGAGGCACCATGAGCATTCGTGGCACCCATCTTGCACAGACCTTTGAAAGGTTAAGATGGTCATGAAAAATAGCAAATATGGTACCAACTGATAGGTTTGTCATCTCTGCTAACGTTTTGATTTTTATTCGGGCATCTTCTAATATGAGTTTCTCAATTTTTTTCACATTTTCTTTCGTAGTGGCAGTAACCGGCCTGCCCGAGTGAGGGTCGTCTTCAGTGCTTTCTCTGTCCCTTTTAAATTCACTTGACCACTTTTGAACAGTAGATAATGAAGGTGCAGAGTCCTGGTAAACAGCCACCATCTCTTCATGAATGATTTTTTGACTTTTTCCTTGTTTTGTAAGGAACTTAATCACAGCGCGGTGCTCGGTTTTCTTCAACATTGTCGCATCAGTCATCATGGTCGTCTTTCACTGAGGATTACTAGGGAACTAATGATCACACTTATTTGAAATGTTGCATGTATACCGTCAGATAGTGTCTTTAGCTAATGAAATAATTAAATTACCCACATCAATAGCAAATCAACCCGATACTGAGAATACATTGAACGCCCCTCATATATGAATATGATTGGAACATCTCTGAAACCCTCTGAATCTTTTGCTCATTGCCATGAGCAAGGACACAGAGACACACACTGCTGAGAACTCCCTGATGCTGCTCCTTCGAGGCAAGCAGAATCCATAGACTCTTTTGCATGTCTGTCCTGCAATGAGCCTGGAAGTGGGGACCTTCCACCCATTCGCTTGCTAACTTTTCCCCAGCATGGCACCAATTGTCTGGTGGGATCTCCTCTTCAGAAAACCAAAGTGGCCCAGAAAAAACTGTTACCATTGAATTTGTTCCTCTCCTTTTCAGAGGTCACCCAAGTCCCCTGGAGGTTCAACTCAGAGCATATCTACCTGGTATGACTGCTGTCTCCATGAGGCTGAATAATATCTCCACTGTTATCCAGCCTGAGCTGGAAGGGGCCAAGAAGGCCATCAGGTCCCACCCCTTGCTGTTGGAGGACACCAACTTACACCATCCCTTTCAGATGGCTGTCCTGTATTGCCTTGAATGTCTGTAGTGTGGGAGAGCCCACCACCTCTCTGGGCAGCTGGTTCCACGGTTGCATTGCTCTGACAGTGAGGAAACTTTTTTCAGGGCCCCTTCCAACTCTGCTATTCCATGTTTCTATGAAATCACGGGTCAGTGAAATTTTATCATGCTGTGGTTTTGGTTTGTTGGATTCTTAGATTTTATTATTTTAAATAGAACTTCAATAGAACTTTTATTGTACAGTTTAAAACTTGCTGATGGGTGCCTTCTTGGCTAACGTGGTAGGATAAATATCCCATAAATGCAGACAATGTCTTCTCTCTGGTGTTGATTTTAAATGATCCATAAAATGCAGACTCTGCCTGAAGTCCTCTCCACCCTCTATGCATTCATACTGCTATTCCTCAGTGTGGGATCTTGGTGTGCCATAAGACTGTCCCTGTAACTCAAGCTCTTTCACACTCCATGCATCTGAACAAACCTTCTCCAACACAGCTTCTTTGAACAACCCAGATGCTGATTAGATATCAGAAAACGCTTCCTCACTGTCAGAGCAATCTGCAGTGCAACTAGCTGCCTGGAGGGGTGGTGGGCTCTCCCACATTAGAGCCATTCAGAAAGAAACTGGGCAGCCATCTGAGTGGGGTGCTGCAAACTGGTGTCCTGCAGCAGCAGTGGGTTGGACCCAACGGCCTTCGTGGCCCCTTCCCACTCTATTCTTCTATGATGCTGACGGGTTATTTTGGGGGAAGAAACGTCCACATCTTCTGTATGGTGCAGAAATGTGGGGGTGCATGGGCTTCTCTATCCAAGAAGTACCTCAGGACTCCTGTTTGAGGTCTTTGCTAGCTGTCTCGCTATGTATGTGCACGGCACGGAGGCGTGACTGGGCCTGCAGGCACCCAGTGAGCACCGTCACAGAGGGACGCTGTGAGACTGGGCCTCTTAGTTTTTGCAGCAGCGCAAACACCACATGGCGCACTAGGCTCTCAGCTCACTTGGGGGGGTGACCTGAGCAATGCTCGGGCTGGCAGTGGGAGTTAGAAAATTTCAGTAACAATTGATCCCAACAAGCAGTTTGTTTACGCGCGGAGAATTGACAGGAATGGGAGACAAACATGCAGACATACTGACCATGCAGCGTGTGGCACGCCGAGTTTAAACTTACATTCTCGCTGGAAATTGATTTTCTTTTAATTTTCATTTAAAGTATTGTATCTTCCATTGTTTTAGACGGATGCTTGTGTTCTGGTTCACCGAGAGTCTCCTGCATTTCTCCCTGTGCAAGTGTTCTGTGATTTTAATTAGGTGATTGTTTTAATGCTATTTCTATTTTACTTTTCATGGTGCTTAATATTCTTCAGCCAGACTGCAGGATAGGGATTTGAGTGATCCCAGGGAGTGGGTAGGCAAGGCGCAGGATTTACTTAAAGGATCCTGAGCTGTGGAAACAGGCGAGTTCCTAGCTAGCTTTACGAAGGCTTCAGCAGGGTGCACATGCAACACTCAACATGGACTTGCCTGCCGGGCAGGCTCCAGTCAGCTGGTACAGACACTCAGCAAAATACCTTCAAGGAAGTTTGGTATCCAAACAGGATATAAGGGAAAATGACTAGTCTATATAGGCTGCTCATGGGAAAGGGGGTGGTGTTACACAGGAGCTGTGGCTGAGCAGTGCGGAACTGCTGGTTTACTTTGTTAGCAAACCAAACTGAACTGGGCCCAGGCCTCCCAAGACAGAAAAGGTGCCAGTGAGAGGTACTCCCCAAGTCTGAAACTGTCCATTCTTTATGCAATTCAACAAGTTCTTTCCAGTGTGGATGAATCAATATTCAGTGTGGATAAATCAGTACAACACCTTTCTCTATAACTGAAGCACTTTCCACCATTGTGGCTCTTCTCAGCTGTCTGCATCGTACGGGTTTCAAGGATTACCACTTTAGCTGGATACATTCCATGCATTTCTGTACATACTCCCAAATGGATAAATTCATGGAAAATGAGAAGATTCTCTTCTGAAGCTCGTTT